TGAAGCAGTAAATTCGATTGTCGCATAAACAACAAGACAAAACAACAAAAACAAAGTATGTACAGAAAAAAAAAACTACCCTTGGCATCTTAACTCACCCGCTACCTCCATCAACTCAGGATAATGGTTTTGGTTTTGTTTGCACTTTGTGTCTAGCTCGAGCAAGCCAAACTGTGCGCATGGATGCAAAGGATTTGTATCACCAACTATGCATGTACATAGGCATGTGTGTATGTATGTTTGTATGTAAGTATGTATGCTAAAATACCGAAAGTGACTGTCGGACCCATCGTAACTTCTGATATCTGCCAACACACGGGAGTGAAAAAAGCATGCAGCCGCTGGGCTGAGCTGGTCTTCTTTGTGTTTGCATGTATTCTCATTTTTTTTTTTTATATAAAACAAAAAAAAAAACTTGAAAATATGTGCGCCAGCCAACAGCTTTTAAGCCAGGCCGGCGCAAATATAACTTTATGCATTGCAATAAAGCATTCTCCGGCCAAAAAGAAAACTTAAAATTACTGCAAAAGGGAGCAAGGAATTATTTAACTCAAATCTAAGATATTTACAGAAAAATAACTAACAGGAATTTAAGGAATAATGAGCAAGTTGTATGCTTAATTTAGGTCCCATTTGCTTATAATGTGGGCTGCGAAATTGCGAAGTAGGTATGATCCCTTGTAAAACGAGTCGTAAGTACTCGTATTCAACCTCCATTATTGAGTGGGCTTGATCCTGGGCCCATAAGGATGCTTTACAACTCATATATCCTATAGAGAAGACTGGACGGGATGCACTCTTTGGAATCAGGGACCAGTGAGTTTATTCACTGATCAACCTGAAATTTAGGATATGTTTTCCATAGAAGAGTCAGCGATTTATATCCATGCTTAAGGCTTTAGTAGTAGGTAAGGAATTAATATACTCTGATAATTAGGCCTTAATTTGGGTGCTTGGGTATCTCTCGATAACACAAAAATACTGGGCTATCAAGCGATCTGGTAAAAATAGTGTGGAAACACCATAGGACACATTTGGTCTGCTGTTGGAGAGATGGCCACCTGGTCAACTGAACAAGAAAGGAGGCGCTACTGACCATTGTCTGATTGAAATCCATAAGGTAAAGCTGAACAATGCTTCAAGTGCTTGCTGAACATGGTCAGGGGGAATAATCTTAAGTTTTAAACACTAACTTCCGCACACTTTTCGGATATGCACCGGGAATGTACGGGCCCTCTATAGGTAGTGTGCCTCTATCCAACTGCTGGAGGTCATGACAAAATACAAAGCTGACATAATCACAATGCCACAACCCGCGTTAAGGCCAAATTCAACAGCATTAGGCTTAGTCTTGCGCCCACTTCGATGGAGGAGAAAGACGAAGAGACCAAAAAACATTTCTATGAGTACGGTGTTAAAATCGGGCTTGGCGACTTTAACTGCAGGGTGGCAGAGAATATTTAGTTAAACAGTCGGTAAGTTCCGCTATCTTAAACATAGTCGCTTCCCTGAATTCGAAGAAATGCCTTCTGTCGTGACTCAAATCGGAGGTCTGTTTGGATAGTCTCTACGGTAGTAGCCAACCAGAAATTTTTTTCTGAGCTCCAGGTTGTACTCCTAAACTGGAAGTTTCACTGTGCAGTCGATGTTCGGTCGACATCAGAAGGCATCCCGTCGCTCTCCCATGGACAGGCGTCGTTCGTTTACTGCGTCCAACTAGTTCCCGGTAGAACCAGCAGCAAATTAAATCGACCACTTTGAGCTCAGTAGGCAATTGAAAAGCAGAGCCTCTTTCTCGACAAACAAAAATTACGCTCTATAAATCTGCTATCATTCCCGTATCTTGGACGATGTGGAACAAAAGTGCAAAAGGTTTAGTGGGCTTTTGAAAGAACTATCCCATGCAAAACCTCTGGACCACGGTCGCAAAGACAAAGTGCAGAAAGGCTTGTCTACTGTTGGTGCGGAAATTTGCAAAGAACAAAACGATTACAATGCGATTATAAGCTGAAGAAGAAGAAGAGTTTTTCGTCATCGTTTAAAATGTTAAATGAAAAAATGTATAAACCAAGACGAAATCAGAAGCTTCTCTAGAGCATTTCCGAACTAGTGCGGAGTAGTTCAGGACTTTTTCGGGGCTAGATCAGGACTATTTTGAAACCAGTGCAGTATTATTTCTAGTGTCGGTAAGTATCGAGTACTTTTAAGGATCGAGTTCTTTGGTATCGATACTTTTAAAGATCGGGTATTTTTGAGAGTACTCAGTACTTTCTTTGAATATACGCATGTTGGTAACATTGCAATGCTTAGTGTAGAAATCTCACAAGTTGGCATCACTTTATTCAAATTAATATATTAATCCATAATTACGTCAAATGGATGGCTAACTGGGTACAAGTATTGTACTTGAAAGCTATTGAAACTTCGAATTAAGTACACTCATTTCTGAATACCGGTACTTTTAAGTATCTTTTCGTCACAGAGTACTTTGAATCAACCCTGAGAACATGCATCATACTTTTAAAATTCGGGTGCTATCGATCCTTTTGAGAATCGAGTTCTGAGTACTTTTGGTATCGATACCGAAAAACCCTAACTATTTCTTTCATAGTTCAAACCCATTTCGGGACTAGTTCGGAACTTCTTTGCGATCATTTCAATACTACTTCGAGGAAACAGATATTTACACATGTTTTTCTTTTTTTCTACATAATATAAAAACGTCATAACAAATGAACCAGCATGAATTATTTAATTAGTTTAATCAAAAATTGGTGGTGTAAATCTGTTAAGCAAAGAATTAATGTTAGGAAGAAAATATTTCTGATCACTTAAACTCACGCTACTGATAAAAATAATCCTCTTTTTCCTTTCTTAATATTAGCTTAACCTAAATATCATACATGGTTTGATAAAAATAACTTTTTCTAAATATGTAGTTCATAATACGCAATCTCACTTAAAATAAAGCCAAACGAAATGTGTAAAACAAATATGCGGTCTAATGTAACGAAACCGGTGACTAAATATTGAACATCTATGCACAAAATGTCATGTCCAACATGCTGAACATGTCGAACAAGCCGATAGCTTCACCAATAAAGCCACCGAATTATTGTATTGTATGCAAGTATATTCATATGTACATGTGTATGTATGTATATAAAACATGGGTCGGTCAGCCAAATGCAGTTAAGCCAAATCTATAGGCCACCACAGCGAGCATAACTAATGTGTAAGCAAAAACCGGCAACATGTATCTAATAGCACTGCCAATAACATGGATCAATAGTGGCAATAGCAACAATTATTCTAAACCATTACAACTGCTATAGACTGAAACCGCAATCAGTTACGACACTTGTTCGCTCAAAGCCACAACATTTTGAAAATGCAACGCTGTCAATATTGATTGCTTGTGGCGACAAATCCATAAAACTGGCAGTGCTTCTTCTCCCCTACATTACTGCATCTTTGTGCTTGTGAAGTAACTGGAATACATACCCTGTAGGATCTCGGAATAGACTTTGATCACACCACAAACTAGACTATAAGTAATTGTAAGTAGTGCATTTGTAAAGGTAGTGTCACGCGATTGATGCACTTGTACAGATTTATAATTTTTTTTTTTTTTTGGTTATTGGTACAAAACGAAAACAATGGGACGACAATTTTTTTTGCAGTCACATGAGTGGTACAATACAGCCAACTTCTATGGAAAAAGTTGGAAAGATTGTTTTTCATGATTCCGATAAAGAAAAATATGTTTGCATTCACACGATTAAAATTATATTTGTGGATGACATTGTAATCATTGTAATTTTTGATCTAACACGAATGGTACTTAATCTTTTTAAGAAAAACTTTAAGTTTTAAAACATGTTTTACTAGGATGGCCTCCCAAAAAAAAAAAAAACAAGAAAAAAGTGCAGAGTTGTTTTTTAAAAAGTCCCTAGAATTTTGTTAACAGAATTTGCTTTTGAATTTGCGATTTAGATCAAAAACAATTATTTTATAATTTATTTCATACAAATTAATTAAATAATAAAAGTCATTTGTATTATAACACTGTTCAACAACAGTTTTGCAGAGTAACAATGGTATATTTCTGAAATAAGTAATCATGTTGATAATTTCTTGAGTGAAAAGTTGCTAAGTCCATTTGTAAAAAATTTACAAGCGAGGAAAAAACTTTTCAAAACATTTCCTGCAAGAATTTCGCAGAAGGTTCCGCTGCAAATTAGACCTAGAACTTTTTGTGAGCTTATCGATTTTTCTGTGCCTCTTTTGGTCTTAGTAAATTTGCTTTTAATTGAATATAGACGGGAAGAAATAAACCAAGCACGTTATTTATGTAATCCTTTTGGAAACGCAGCGTTTTTAATTTACCTTGCTTCCTATATCCAAATATGAGTTTTCACGAAAAGTGGACTTTTCTCTTCAAGCTAGCGATATGTTAATGAGATGCTAATATGTAGGTCTTTATTTATAGGGCTTTCTTTTCATTGGCAACCAAACTGTCAAAAATGTTTAGATACTCACAATAATAATTATATTAAAAAATAAAAGTCCGGGAATGAAATTGTCACTTAATCGGTTTTCGATACAAGTACTTTCTTCCGAAACTTACTCAGTACTCGGTCCAAAAATATCGATACCAAAATTACTTGGTATCAGTTGAAAAGTATCGAGTATGTGCTTGTTTTTACTAGTATCGTTTTGTCCCTACATATCACTAAATCATTATTTCTATCGGTGGTACGCTTCTACAGGACATTGTAACCAATTTCAGATCAAAACTCTCTGCATTACATTCGGACCACTTTTAGTACACTTTACCTACTTTTCGCTACGTTGCTTTAATTTTTTAGACTACTTTGTTCTATATATAAAACTAATATATTTTCGATTGTATTTTTTCGAACAATTCGATCAATCTTTCCTTCAGGGTAGTTAAGTATCTATGTGTATGTATGTATGCGCGCGCTTTTCTTTGGATTTTAAAAACTTACCTGCACTCTCGATTCTGTCAATCCAATACGCATCGCAATCTCTTCACGCATGAAAATGTCCGGATAGTGTGTTTTCGAAAAGCAACGCTCCAACTCGTTCAGCTGAGCAGGTGTGAAGCGGGTGCGATGTCGCTTCTGCTTGTTTTTATCCGAGTTCTGCAAAAGATAGAAACGCTGTTGAAAGTAAGCCATTTTCCATGAAGTTGGTTGGCCAGTAATGTATGTATGTATGTATATAAACTATATACTGATAAAATATACTGAGAACTGAGAATCAAAAAGAAATCCAAAAATTCTACAACATGGACTGAGGCGATTCGATTAAGATTTACAAATAACAAAATTTTCAATAATTACCCAATTATTGGTTTTAGCTGGCTACATAAAGAAGTTACATATATTGCAAAAACTTGTATCTGAACAATCAGTGGTATAAAAGATATAGCTTATGCAGCACCGATCTTGTCGATTTTCTCAGTAGACTTTGTACGATTACCTAGAAAATAATTTACAAAATATCTTGGTATGAGCTGTCCAACTAAAGGAGTTTTACAGTAAAACCCCATATCTGAACAATCAGTTGTATGGAGGCTATAGGTTATAGTGACCCAATCTTTGTCATTTTCTCCATAAGCATTATGTTGATAATTGGTGAAAACGGTACGAAATTTCATATTCCTAGCTACATAAATGGAGGAGTTATAACGAAAAATCTCATATCTAAACAATCAGTTGTATGGGAGCTATTTGTTATAGTGGTCCGAATTTTCCGGTTCCGACAAATGATTAATACATTTCGGAAATACGCTCACCAAATTTCAGTTGGATATTTTGAAAACTGAAAGCCTATATTGCATACAAACAGGTGAACAGACAAACAGACAGACTCAGCTCGACTTTCTGATCATATAAGTGTACATTTTCATGGGTCTATCTCTTCTTATTCTGGTACTTACAAGGCCGAAAGGCCTGTGAAACTCTACTTCAGGTCGTATGTGATTGGTAGCCAGTCTCATCTTAGGTGACAATCGAGAAATAATGCTGCTATGTTCGATTGTTCCTTCTTTCCATATACCCAGTTCTCTGAGCCATATAGCCGAGAGTGATGCGGTGTGCAATATCTTAAGTTACATAGAAATAGGTTTGTAATAACATTGAGGTCATCTGTGGGGTAAGTTCTCATTGCCTTTGTGGTCCCGATGCATGCAGCTCTCTGAACTCCCAGTTTCACATAATTAATCGGTTCTTTAAGGCTGTCCACCATACCAGAGAACTGTAACATAAGATCGGACGTACAACCGCTGTGGATATCCAGAGTACCACTTTTGAATGTCTTCCCAAAAAGCCGCTTACAGGAGTAGTAGGCAATGCTCGCTTTCTTTACTCTCTCTTCAGTATTTATTCTCCAACTTAGCTTAGGATCCAGTATGACTGCCAGATGTTTCGCTTGTTTAGATAAGTGTAGGCTTTGCCAATTCAGCTTTGGTAATTCGAAGCTAGGGACCTGGCCGCAAAGAGCATTAATTCTGTTTTCTCTGCGGCCACATTGCTCGGCCTACCAGCATAGCTCTGCTAAAGTTCCATCCATGATGTTACTCACCACAAATGGAAATAACCCGGTTACTAGAACCACTACATCGGCAGCGTAGGCTGCTACTTTTACTACAACCTCTTTGAGCTTGAGTAGCACTGGTTTGTTTGTGCTAAGCCATAAAATTGGAGACAACACTCCACCTTGAGGAGTTCCTTAGTAGTGTGTAGCTTCCAAATAGGCTGCTTCTATATCAAGGAAGGCTTCCCGAGTATATTACTTAAATTCATCTTCATACTGTTGCCGGCATAGCAATGAGACCTAAGCAGACACGGACGTCGGGTGTAACTGCTGCCGCGATCCAAACTCTGCTGGTCAAAATTCTGCTCGTTCAAGTACTGCTAAAATGCTTTGAAACCCTAAAGTGCTAAAGTGGCTTTATCTATCTTCGTTTTCAGTAGGATTTGAACAAAAAATAAATAAAAATATTCAAAATCAACGGTATTTTATAGCCACTTGAAACTTGTGCTTTACCATATTAAAATTGAATGGGCTATAAACCAGCATAAATACCAAAAAATTTTCTAGAAATTCTGAATAAAAAGTTTGAAAATTTTTGGAATTTGTGGAATTTTTGTGCAAAATTTGAAATGTGGATTTATGTACATACATATATATGTATATGGTGTTTGCTGTATAACTAGCTGCGCTTTTATAAAAAATATTAAACCAAAGAAATATAGCCAAACTGGTCAAAATAAGGCGAGTATATTATTTCTGCTACCTTACCTAACATCGATTACAATGTTTAAGCTGTAGTTAGTGTTAACCAGACATTGAGTAATCGGCCTCTAAAAATTCTACTCCACTGATATCTTAATCGAATTCTTTGCAAAACCAAATCCTCTACTCTAATAAGTCTACGCCTATAAACAATAAAACTTATTTATTTTGCGTATATACAAATACCATAACATATATTTAACCATATTCTTAAGTACATATAAAATACATACATACAAACAGATAGAAGAAAAAATACACTTACTTTTCAATTTGTTTGGATTTTTCAATTTGATTCATTTGTTCGAATGAATAATGAAGTCAAATTTTGCGCGCATTTTTCATTCATTTACCAATTAACATCCGCAATATGTGTTCAAAAATTCGCATGCAAATGTTTGGTAAACGAATAAGAGAAAATCAGTATTTCATATTTTTGAATTTAATTCAGAAATGCCCGATTAATCGATTTGGTTTTTCAACATCAAGGAAATGCAAAGAAAAGAAAAGAAAAAACATTGAGATTATTGTGAATTAACAAGCATTCAATTACATAAGTATGTCTTAGCGAAAATAAATATGCACGAATTTGATAAAAATGCATAAACAATGAATGTTGGATGATTGCTTTCGAAGTTCAATAACTTTTAAGATTTTTGATATTTTTTTTGTCGTTCATCTTGGAGTAAATATTTGCTTGCTTTGCCCCTTGGGCTTTGACTATTTCATTTTATTTCATTTCATTCGTTGCATGCTCACCTGATCCTGCTGTTGCATGTTGTTGTTGCTCACGTTATTGTTGTTGTTATTATGATGCGGATTCGGCGTATCGCACAGCCCGCCTGTGACATGCAACCGTGCCGCACCGCCACCACCGCCGTTCAACACCACGTCGGCCTGATTTTGCGCGTTCGGTGGCAGTTGGCCGAAACTATTGACGCCGGCGTGCAGTGCCGTGATTGCCGCTTTGGGTAGATCACAATCTTTGGGACCTGCAAAATAGAGCAGATAGAGAGAAATATGCTTATTAATATTTAGTTATTCAAAACAAATGGAAATATGTACTATATATCTGATAAGATAATGCACTTTGTTGCAAGAATGTACGGGACTAACTTTCAAACATATGCGATTGATCGTTAGTATCTTACAGTCGGAGATTCTGTCATTGCGGTTATAATGCCTATTTGTTTTACTCTAAGAAGTAATTATTTTTAGACTTTTTAAACATTGTAGAGAATAACGTACAAATGTTGTTCCCAAGATACAATTACGTCTATGTACAAAGTTATAAATAGCTCAGCCAATGTGACAGACTTTTTAAGTGTACTCTGAAATAATTTCCTAACCAATAAAAAATAATCCGCATTGATGCTGAGCGAAATAACGCAATGTCCCATCGGTGACAGGTAATAAGGTCATTGGAAATAAGATCAATTGACTTTATTTCCTATCCTGGTGCGAAATAAAGTCAATGGACATTATTACCTATTTATGATGTCGTCACAAATTGCTGGCGGAGACATGAATACAGTGTAAGAAAATTCTTTTTCTATAATTGTTTCTTTATAGAAAGGTTGGTTTCTTTTCCACCTTAGACATTCCGAATTCGTTCAAAATATGGTAATTTAAAACACAGAATTTTTTCCTCTTCTGTTTCTTCAATTTAATAGTGTTCGCTTTATTTTTGTGGAAACGAAACATGTTTTGCAAGTTATGGATCACTTCTACACTCTTTCTTCAAATATTTCTTGTATTCCAGCTGTGCACAGGCGTTTAGTTTTTCGGATCGTGTTTTTACATATTCGTAATTTAATTTTGTTTAATAAAATCAAATGGTGGTAGTTCATGATTGTGGATCGCACCAGGGTGCGAAATAAAGTCAATTGACCTTATTTCCATTGACCTTATTACCTGTCACCGTCCCATCTCTTAATTTGACAGGAAATATTTTAAATTAATTATAATCTATTGACAATTAGCATATCGCTGCTTTTATCACTGACGATTCTCGTTGATCCGAACGAGATCGAGATGGAAAATATATCCCTTTGTAGAAGACGAAATAAGCTACATGTAGACTCTACATCATTTCAGTGGGAAGTACGCCTCAAGTAGTCTTTATCGCATAATAATTGTTGTTGTTTTCCTAGTGAGTTTGTTCAAACGATTGGGTACTGGTACATGGCGTATGAGTAACACTATAAGGTTATTCACTCTTACCTGGTTATCAGGTTATCTGCTTAAAAATTATTATTGCGTAGTATATTTTATTGTTGTAAACTGAGTAAAAAGTATAATCACATAAACTGATAACTAGGCAAGTGTGAACAACCTATATGTGTTTCATGATCTTAATTGATACAAAAAAGAATAATCGAGCAATCGAATTTAACAATCGATCACGCAGAAGTGATTAGTGGTACTTTCTACCAAAATAATGTAAAGAATTCTTCCGGAACAAGAGGATATTTCTTACATCTTTAAACGGTGAACGTGAAACAAATCGACAACGATATTAACAGCCATGCGCTTATTTCCAATAGTTTTTAATTATTTAAAAATATTTCGGTGTAATTTTCCGAGTACGGCGGTATTATCTATTAGCTGATTATTGCGACCTCAAGTGCTAGATTGATAGGTCAAAAGTATATATAAAACAAAAATGGTTTATGACGTTATCGACTCCCCGTTATATGTTATGGAGTCGAGCACATCAATAGCGATGTTTAACCTGCAGTTAGTGTTCATCAGACAGAAGCCGGCCCTTAATCTTACCCATTAACAGAGAACATAAAATAAATTTTGGATCACAATGATTTTTTCGTCATTTCTAATTCTATATCTTCGTCTTTTTCTTTATATGCGCTGTAACCGCCTAATCGATTTTAGCCGAGTCTAAAACAACACGCTAGTCCTTCCTCTTCTGTGCCAACTGACGCCAATTGGAAATGCCAAGTGAAGACAAGTCCTTCTCCACTTGCTATTTCCAACAGAGAGGAGGCCTTTTTCTTCCTCTGTTACCAGCATCGCGGCTTGCGTTGAATACTTTCAAAGCTGGAATGCTTCTGCCCATTCGAACAACAGGCCTTAAAGCCTGATTATGGCAACTTAACTTAACTTAACGGAACGTAGAACTTAGATGAATAAAAATGAAAAAGATGTCGACGTGGCATTAAGCTCAATTACAAGCAACATTCATTTAACAGAATTTTTAAGTTAGAGCCGTAAGTTACGTTAAGTTGCCATAATCACACCATTATCCAGCTTAATTTTAATTCGCTGCACTATGTCTATGTCGTTGTAAATGTAAAGCTCATACAGCTTATCGTTGAATCGTCTGCGATATTCGCCATCGCCAACGCGCAAAGACCCATAAGTATTTCGCTTAATCTTTATCTCGAAAACTTGAAGAGCCACTTCATCAGATGTTGTCATTGTCCATGCCTCCGCGCCATACACCAGCACGGACATATTGAGTGACTTATAGAGTGTGGATTTCATACGACGAGAGCGGATTTAACTTCGCAACTGCCTACTGAACTAAATAATCAAATGCACTCTATTTCAAGGCTGACGTCATTATTGGTGTTAATGCTGATCCCCAAATAAACGAAGCCGTCTACTTTTTCAAAGGGTACCAAGCCATACATATGTATATGCCCTGACTGTTTGTGTGATAACAGGAGATATTTCGTTTTGTCCACGTTCACCACCAGACCCAATCGCTTTGCTTCTTTAGCCAATTACGAGAAGGCAGAATAGATGTAGTCCTTGTTTTCACTGATAATATCGATGTCGTCGGCAACCACGAGGAATTGCACGCTCTGGTAAAGTATTCTGATTGAGCGGTTCAATTCTGCAGTTCTTATTGTCCTCTCAAATATCAGATTAAAGATATACACGAAAGGGAGTCAACTTGTCTGAAATCTTTTGAGTACCAACTGGTTAGGAGAGGTCCTTTCCAATTCTGACAGAGATGGTCGTATTTCTCAACGTCAGCCTACACAGCCGCACTAGTTTCGCGGGGAAACAAAATTCAGACATCACGGCATAAAGACAACTTCTTTTCTTGCTGCCGAAAGCGGCTTTGAAATCGACAAACGATGGTTTGGGTCGATCCTATTCTTGCGAGTCTTTTTCAAGATTTGGCGGTTTGCTAATACCGGATCTATGGTGAATTTTCCAGATCTAAAGCAACACTGATAAGCCGCAATCATTTCGCTGACGGTGGGCTTTAGTCTTTCACACAATACGCTTGATAAGAAATGTAAAATATGTTTAGTAGGCTAATTCCTCGGTAGTTGACGCGTATGGCGGGGTCACCTCTCTTGTGGAGCAGAGTACACTTAAATTCCAGTCGTCGGGCATACGTTCATCGGACCATATTCTGCATAAGTGTTGATGCATGCACCTTATCAGCTCCTCGCCGCCGTACATGAATAGCTCAGCTGGCAGGACGTCAGCTCCATCAGCTTTGTTCTTTTTCAGTTGAGTCTGGCGGTACATCGACTCCGTTGTTATCGACTGCCATTAAAGAGTACGCCATTGTTGTTTTTACAGGAGTTCGCCCCGGTCTTGAAACCTTCCGTAAGTCGAATAACTCTCTGCTAGAATTTTTGGGCGTTTTTTCCTGTCAGTCAGCATTTCAAGCTCGTCGCACTCACGTACTTCGGCCTCTCTCTTCCTTTTGCGGCATACGCTTTGCCTCCTTCTTCAGCTCCCTATACTGATCCCACACAGCGCGCGCTACGCCCGATCGCATCGTGGCCCTACAAGCGGCATCTTTTTTCTCTGCAGCTTCCTGACACTCCTCACCGTACCAGTTTTTAGTTCGGGCTCGCTGAAATCCGTTTTATTCTTCGACAGGGTTAGGTAATGAGTGGGAAATGTGGTTTCAAAGCTCGGATATGTCGGCTTGTTGCAGAGTGTTCTCTGAGAGCAGGTTTCAGAGTCGAGTGACGAATAAATTTGCCGCCTTTTGTGATTACAGCTTCTCGACTTTAAACTTTCCTTGCATTGGTTGGGGGTAAATGTAAAACTTGACTGATTTTTCTATACCATATTTCGGGCCCCGGCGAATTCGATCAGCCTCAGTCCGTTATCGGACGTTTTGTCGTGCAGGCTAAATTTTCCGACAGTAGCACCAGAAATCCCTTCCTTGCCCACCTTGGCATTGAAATCGCCAAACACGATTTTTATGTCGTGGCGGGGGCAGCGCTCTTTTGTACGCTCTCTGCCACCACGAATCCAGAACCGAATTTGCGCTCCTTTACGCGGCAACTGTAGTAGACGTTCGCAAGGCTCTGCGCTTAACTTGCCTTGCCAGGTCCATCGCATTTCTTGGATGGCGGTGATGTCAACCTTTGTGTTCCCGACTATAGCAACCAGCCAGGCATAGGAACCTTCCCCATTAAGGGTCCGGATATTCCAGGTGCATGCCCTCAAATCATAGTCCTTAATACGTTTGCCGTGGACGTCGCTAAAAAGGAGAGTCTCATCCGAGGCTTTATGTTCTTATTCATTGGGCGGGACTCAAACCAAGAGCACGCGAAGTATTTGCTCGCTACCCAGAGGATACGTAGATATAAATATCCAGACGTTGTCTGGTCACTCCCAGGTAACTGACAGTCAAAAGCTTTTCCCACTTACGTGGACTTCTGCGGACCGAACCGTCCTGTGGATGTACATATTATGAGCAATACATGTTTAAAAAAACATTTTTGATTATTTGTGTTTCCCACAGTAAATATCAAAGCATTTTCATATCACAAATTATCACGATGAATTACTAACCTCCGATTGATATTCTGGTTTTTGTATTTCAGGGTTTAAGATGTACGTTTACTAGTTTTTCAATAAATATTTCTTAATTTCACTACCAGCTAGCTCGGTATTTCCTGTTTTTATTGTAGATTCGCATGGTTGTTTTTTTT